CGACCACACACGGCGACGTGGCCCCCGAGCCTGACAGCAGTGCTGGCTTGCTTCAGGTGTCCCTGCAGGGCACCCCACACCGGGTAGCAGGGACAGTGCAGGGCAGCACCCCGGTGCTGCGGGAGCTCAATGGGGCCACCTTCAAGCAGCCAGCCCCACTGGCTGGCCCCATCCTCATCTACAGAGCCAAAGCCTCTGAACCTAGTACTCTGTCCACGCTTGCTGGTGAGCCCCCATATTGGCCCTGAGCTGGGGGGAGCAACCTGGGGGGAACCCACATCTACCTTGGAGCTGAGCCCCTGCAGCAGCAGGGAGGGGACAGATGTTGCATGGAGAGACTAGATGGGGGCAAGGGGTTGGGGGCTGTTGGGGACATGGAGAAGAAAACACATTGTGAGTGTTGGGGTGGGCAGAGCCCAGCTACCCACTGAGTGCTGGGGCGGTGGGGCAGCCCGTGGCCCCTAACCCCTCTCCTCCTCTGCAGGGCTGCTGGGGAAGGTGGGGGTCCAACTCCAGTCCTACCACAGCTCCAGCATGGTGGCAGGGGAGCAGTGGAATGTTGTGGGGCTCTCAACTCCGCTGTCTGACCTCGGTGAGCTGAAGCCACATGTCATGGAGGTGTTCCAGCTCCACCTGTAAGCCCTGACCACCGGCAAGGACTCTCCCCCCAGCCACAGCAGCTGGACAACCCCCAAAGCTGGGGGAGCATCACCTCCATGTTGGGCTTGGGGTGGCCCCACACTCAATAAAAGGTCCAGAAGGAGAGAGCATGTGATGCCTTGTCTGTGCAGTCCCTTGTCCTCAACCCCAAACTTCCCTCCACAAACCTCCCTCCCTCTGGTCCCCACTGCCCCAGCCCCTTTCCTGTTTGCTCAGGGGTGCAAAGTTCTCTGTGGCTGCTGCAGTGCCACCAAGGTCCAGTCTGATCACAGTCTTGAGCTGGGGCATGGCCCAGAGAGCAGGCAGCGCTCCAAGGGGGCTAAGCCCTTCCATGAGCCCCCATGTCACCTGCCTCCTCCAGCCCCCTGAGTTTTCCTGTGGGGACATTGTCATCTTACCACCCCAAACTGGAGACTGGGGGCTGGAGTTTACTTGGCTCCCTCAGATATCAGGGCATGCTCCCATCCTGGGGAAGTAGCAGGTACTGAGGCGTATGTCCAACAGGGCAAGTGGCCATGTTGGTTGCCTATGGGATAAATCCTCTAAGAGGCTGCAATCCAGTCCCAAGATGGCTGAAGGAAGGGCCCCTGGGTGGGAGGAGACCACTCGTGACCAGGAGCCAGAGCTGGGCTGCTGCCCCCTCTCATCTGTGCCTTTATTCCCTCATGCTGCCTAGGTGTTTGCAGAAAATGCTGCCATCTCCACCAGAGCCAGGGCCCGAAGTGCTGCTGGCTGCTTCCCAGCCACCCAAGGTGAGGTGTCCTGCAGAGACCAGCCCCAGGTTTGAGGGTGAGCAAGGATGCCAGTGGGGAAGAAGGGATGCCAGCACAGAAGAGAGCATCCCCCTCGCCAGGGCTCACCATTCTGGCCCCTCCTAGATGGGCTTCCTGGCGTACTGCCGGCGGTACTTGGCATCCACTCGTGTCAGGTACCAGGTGCCAGGGAAGAGATCTTCTTGGGAGCCATGGGGAGTGTGGTCAGCTGCGGGGAGAGGGTAGTGATGCTCAACGGGACCACGGGATCCTGTCAGGGGGGTGTTGCATTCCCCCAGCCCCACTCACCCAAGTGATGGGTTTCCTCCCGCTGCTTCATGATCTCAGCGAAGTTCTGCGGGGCCACACACTTGCGGGAATCCAGACGAGCTGGGAGATCAGCCAGGCTGGAGACCAGCTTGTCCAGGGGTGAGCCTGCCAGCAGACATCCCCCAGGTCAGATAGTACAGCCAGTGGCCCCAGCCCTGGAGTCCCACACAGCCCACCCTTCCCAGGCCCCCTCTCCCACAGAGCTCACCCGGGGCTGCATCCTGTGAGACACGG